CAAGTTGAAGCCCAGTCTGATCTATGTAATGAGCTTCAGGCCAGCCAGAAATATGTAGTGAGACCTGTCTCAAAACCAGTAACAGCAGAAAGTGTTAGTACATTTAGTTAGAGCGCAAATCCCGTGAGAGCAGGTACTCTGTGCCGCATTGTGCATCACCAGCTTCTCGACTCCCAACACACATTTATGTAATGGGGGTAAATATATTGTAAGTGGGAAAATCCAGTAACATACAAAAGTATTTCCAACATATATTTTATTCTTGGACACAGTAACTCCAGTTTGAGAGAATACATGTCAGAAGAGAGTACTCAAACCTTAGCTTGATGTTGAGATATGAATCTTGAAGGTCATTTAGAAGGAAATGATCGCTCCCTTACGTCTGATGGACCTGCAGCTCTCTGTTTGCTTGTTGGATGACAACCTTACCACCCCAGCTACAGGCGCTGTTTAGCTCATTACCCTTTCAGTGAGCTCCAGTGTCAGCTACCAATGGTTTCATTTCCTCTTGCCAGAAGAGAGCAAGTCCTGCCCCCTTGTGCTCCATTCTCAGAGCTGCTTAAGGGCTGTTGAGCCCCTGGCATCAGGATGGGCTCTTCTTCCTATTCTTTTACTGAGGAGCCATCAGAAGGAACTTGTGTGTGGGTGGAGCACCAGTTAATTTTGGTTTGTGGCACGTCAATTTGAGTCCGAGCAGCTGATCAGGTGTAACTTAGAGCAGGTGGGCACGCTGACCTCATGCACCCTCAGTTCCCACAGCCCCCCTCCATGTCTGCTCATGGTGCATCGCTCCTCGCAGTGCTGACCCCACCTCTCCTTCAGGAAATATGAAGTGCAGACAGGAACTTTAAAAAAGAATTGAAATGGAATCATTATGCACTGCAAACAGCACTTCAGAAAGCAGACAGGCCTGCGGGACATCCTGCCTTCTAATATAAGCAAGGCTGCTGTTTGTACAAATCCCTTCCTATATATTAAAATTTTCCTAGGAGGAATTTCTAAAACTTGTTTATTATGAACAAGTAGAATTTCTTAAAGCCATGATTTTTGGTATCTTAGACTTATTATAACCCTTTTTTAACAACCGCTTACCATGTTACAGGTTGGTAGTACTGACTTCAGTAGTCATCACTAAAATATTTACATCTTGGAATATCTTTAGTTTCTTTTTATTTTTGAGAGCTGTTTAAGAGCAACTACAATTGAAGACCTCTGTCATCTTCAACTCTCTCCCACTCATTCCCATCAGAAATCCTCAGTCCCTGAAAATTCTGATGGCAAACGTAATTCTGTATTTTACATTTCTGTTACATATTTAACAAACTTCATGAAAATGTTCTTAGTTCTCCATTCCTTCCTCCTTTATGTCACATAGACTACTTAGAGTAATTTTTTTTTTTTGGTTTAGTCTTAGAATTGTGTGTTCACTCACTGGCTCATTCATTCTTCTCAGCATAGGTTTATGTAGTAAGGAGAGTTTCTGTCTGCAATGTGCCAGGCCTTGCAGTAGTCCCAGAAGTACATGGTGGACTGCAGCGTGTGTAATATGCAGAAATCGCCATCCACGGGGAAGGGGCTGGGACCTTCGTGAAGGTCAGAGCTGGATCTACTACTGTAACTCCTGCAAGCACTGCTTAGAGGCTAAAAGTGAAAACAGTAATAAGATAGGAAAACCTGGGTGTTAGTGATGCGTGGATGCCATAGGAGTGGGAGCACTCTGGCACTAGGTGGGCTTTGCCTTCAGACCGTGTGGCAGATTGGCAGCTGTGGAAGCTGCAGTTTACGGTTTTATGTGCTCTAAATTTTGACCTGAAGCCAAGTCAAAAATCGTTTAATATTAAAATGACCCTGGATAGTGTTTGCTCATCTAAATCACAGCTCAGTAAAAGAGTGCTTACCCAAAATAAAAACATACTAAAGCAAGCAAGAAAATTAAATTCTGATTTTCCCTCCATGCAGAAACTTACTCACACTCATTGAGTTGAATAGAAGGAAGACACAGAGAAGTAGGTAACTAAGACATTGATATGTGAGGTTGAGAAAGCCAGGGAACAGTACGAGCCTCTTAGTCAACTAATGATTTTTAAAACAAAGTCCCCATGCCAACAGAGGGAACGACATAAAAAATAAACACTCACTGGATATGCACAGAAATGATCTTGCACTGGTGAGAATAATTTTATTGTATTGACTGAGATTAAAGACCCCATAAACCAGGTGTGGTGACACATGCCTGTAATCCCTGCACTACAGAGGCTGAGGCAGGAGAATTGGGAGTTCAAAGGTCTGAACTAAATAGACCTTGTCCAAATAATTAAAAAATATACGAGCCCACCATTGTTTGAATAATGTGACCTAGAGTTTAAAATTTTTACTTTGTATACCATTTAAAGTCTTTCTTGCTGTAGTTAAATGATATCCATTTTATGGTTTTGTTACTGGAATAGATTTTGATATTCTACTGTATAGTTCTGGAAAATGGGACCAGAGATGTTGCTCTGCTCCAGGTTCCATCTTCAGCACCAAAAGAAAGAGTCAAACAATAGTATTGTGCAGTGTTCCAAATATAATGGCTATTTTCTACAGGTATGTTCAAGTAATGTCTCTTAGAGTATCTAAGAGAAGTGCATCACATCTGAATTCCCAAAGGATTTTATAGACCTTACATTACAGATAATAGGAATATTAATATTAATGATATAAAACATGAACATTTGGTGTGAACGATTAATTGTAATTTTGGGTTGTTTTTACATCATCACTAATATGACGTCTTTAGTTATAATACATTTTTCCATTTGTAGCTTTTGTCCTTCATTATTCTATCACATTTGATATCACATTCCACCACCACCCTGCTTTCCTCTGCCATCTTTCCAATCAGGCCTCCTTTCTTCGGGGGAGCCTCCCTGCCTCCATACCCGTTTGGTTGCATCCTCCTCTGCCGCAGCACGATACTTCTTTTTGTCTTTGTGTCTCTCCTTGTGTGCTCTGTGGTTGATGTGTTATGACCTCACTTCAGGCAGGCATTACGCTATTCAGGTTTCTGCTTTAGAGCAGCACCTGCCATGTGTAGCTGTGTAATTTTGCTGAGTGAATAAATAAAAGACTCCTCCTTTACTGTGATCTTTTTTTCCTGTGTAAGCATTGACATTTTTTTTTGTTATATTTGGGCAGAGCAATTGTTAGATCTGAACCTTTTGATAGTTTATATGATGGTTTGTATCAGCCGAGGTAACCAACAAAAGTCATATTGGGAGTGTTAGCTCAGAGTTAATTCTGGGGGTGTCAGGTTATAAATGAAATACAAATCAACTTTTAGGGGGACAAATCATTTATATACATATATAATTTTTGTTAGCATAAAAATAATGGGTTTCATTATGACATTTACATTTTATTAATATTATTGTGCATTATGTGTGACATGTGGGGGGGGGGTTATGCACAACCCATGACAATGTGTGGTCAGAGAACAACTTCGTGAGTCAGTTTTCTTCTTTCACCTCTAAGTAGGTTCTGGGTAATGAGCTCAGGTGATCAGGCAGGCACAGCAAGCATTTTACCACCGAGCCGTCTTCCTGGCCCTTAGCGCGACAGTTTTATGCATGCAAATCATTGTACCTTGTCGAATTTGTGTCCCCATTGTCCTCTTCTGTTTCTTCTTCTTCTTTTGCGGTCTTGTCATATGTGTGCATGCACACATGTATCTTAAATCTAGATTCTGCATGGGAGAAAACATGCAGTATTTCATCTTTCTTCCTTCAATTTCCTCCTTTCTCCTCTTCCTCTCCCCATTAGATCTCTCTTCATTGTCCTTCTTGAGTCTCACGTCCCATGCATTAAATCTTGCCTAATTATATCAGCAGCACAAATATATCATTACATACATGAATGTACATGAAATATGATACAGGAAAGGGAGTTTCACCACTCCTAAACTGCTTTTCTGTCTCATGAATCTTTTGTTCACTTGATCTGTATGAAAGCAAGGAGAGAAGGGGATGGTTGTCCTATAGTACCATAGAAAATAGTACTGGCTCAGTAAAACACTCTTGCATTTTGCTGGAAAACTAAATTTTGTTTCACACTTATCCCCTATCAGCAAGATGGGCAAGTTGAAAGACATATTCTCTAAACTAAATTCCAGCTAAAGAAGTTTAGATGTTCCAGGAATGTCACTGAATTATTTTGGTTGGGGGGCAGTGGTTGTTCATGTTTCCCTAGGCACAACCTCCTACCCTAGAAACTGCTGCTGTTGACTGCCCATGTAAGAGAGCCTATACTATACAGTGCATTCTTTCCTTTCTTCTTCTATGAGAAGAGATCTCTTACTTCCAAGTTGGCCCTAGGACTTCTGAGAAAAGTTATAGTATGTTTTTTTTGGTTCCGCAGAAATAGTCGATTTGTGAGAAGTAAGTGGAATACACTGTTGTTTCTGATGATGAATACCATGTGTCCCTTCCCCTCAACTCTTCTTCCTTCTTGATGTTGCAATTTTGGCTCAATTACAGGAGCTCTGGCCATCATCTCAGATGGATGAGAAGGGCCTCTCAGAGAGTGAACTGGGAGGGGACTGAGATACCAGGACAGTCTTTGACAGCCTGTCTAGATGTCATTTAGTTGATAGAGGTACAGCCTTTTATCTTAATCTGCCTTGATTATCCATGCCTTAGTTACATACATTCAGACTTGAACCTAAGTGACTCAGGGTTCCACAAATAAACAGTGTGATCTTAACAGTGTCTGTGTCCCTTTAAAGTTCTTTAGATTCTCTTATTTATTCAGTCTTCTCAGATTATTTACGCTCATCTTGGAATGCAGTGCCAGGGTTTGATGTTAGCTTTCTTGTAAAAATGAGTGATCTAAACATTTTTTAATCATACTTCCAACAGTGATAGAGTCAGCGCAGAAGTATTTCACCAAGAATTTGAAGGAAAATAACGTTCTAAGTTCCAGAATACCAGCATTATCCTTCTCTCATAAAGTCTGGAACTCTGTAATCTCTGACTCCCAGCTGTCCCTCCACATTCTTCATGCAGATGAACACCTGGTTTCTGGGGTGTTAGAAAGATACATCCTATATGTAAAGCTTATGAGGATATTTGATGCTCAGGGGCCTTGGTAGCCTCAAAGCTGGTGAGAAAGCTAATTATAAGTCACAGTTGGGTAGTACAAGAGATTTGATTACCTCTCTTGCTTATAGCTTGACCTAACTTTTAAGATGCGTTAAGGCTTGTATTGTCTTCCTCACAATAACAGTGTTAGGTGTTGTTCTGTTTTAGGTTAAACACTGAAGGATATCCATATTTAAAATGGCAAATCTAAAAAGGCTAAAAATTGAGAGTGATGAGAATTCTTATGCCTTATAGGCTGAGTTGGGATCTCTCCTGGACCTATATGAGTCTGTGAATTTAAGATTTACTCTGATTTCCCAAATATTGTTATGTTTCACAGACAGGAAATCTTCAGAAAGAAGAACTGGGTTTTCCATCTCCATGGCAACCACCGTGGAGATGATTTGGCTTCCTATTCGCTGTGGGAGCTTTGTCAGCCTATAGCACTCATGTGTGATTTCTCAGACTCTGGGTTCTGGTTGAGGGTAAGGGATGGTGATAACAAGGGGGCAGGGATGGAGCTTCCAGTGAAGTGCTTGTCCAAAGCTGGAAAAACAAGGCATATGGGTCAAGATCATGATTAAAAGCTTAGAACAGTAGGTGGGTATGGTAATTCCAGGATTTGGGAGACTAGGGCAGGAGAGATCACAGGTTCAAGGCCAGCCTGGATTATGTAGAGAGACCTTGTCTCCAAAGTCAAACAAACAAACAAAAAAAATCATAGGAACTAGGAAGGATGTCATTTGTGGGAAATGACCAGATGATAGGAACAGGGTGTGAGGCATCAGCGGATTTCCACTTTGACCGTCTGCGCTGATGTCCACCTGGCCTACGCTTTGCAAAGGCACTGTTTTCATGTCTCTTTCTGTGTTCTACAGTTTGACCTGAATGCCCAGGCTCTCTGATTGTGCTAAGTGCTTTCGTTTGGCTGAAAGCGTTTTCTTTGTTTAGTTTTTAAACTATGGAAGGGTAAACTTAAAATGGAAGCTTGCTATCTGTGACAGTGAGGCAGACTTTTGAAGCATCCTGGTTCTGTGGGTTTCTAGCAAGCTGTCTGTTCATTTTGCATAGGGCTATATGACACCTGTTAGACAGTGTGGGGAAGTTAAGCTGGGTGAGGGACCTGGACACCTTAAATGCAGAGATGGACTCCATATGCCTCTTTAACTCACCAATATTGTCATGGGATTCTATAAAACTCATATTTTTAAAAAACTCTATAGCATTATTTCACAAGCCCATGATGATTTCCAAAACAAAGCACTTTTTATTTCTTAATTTAGATTTTCATGCCTTCAAATGGTGTCAACATATCAAATATTGGGGTACTAGATATAAAATATTCATTGAGAAGTTTTTTAATATGGTGAAAATTAGAAAATCCTAGCAAATGTGGAGGGGACTTTATTAGTTAATAAAAAATAATTTATTAATATGACAATGAATTCTGGGGTTGACAGAGTCTTAGTTCCTGCCCTCAAGAATGTTTAACTTTTTCACAGATTCCCTTAATATTTGTTGGTTCAGTGCCCAAAATTAGCTTGTGGTTGACAAAAGAAAATTCAACTGGAAAAGGATTTGCAGAGATGAAAATTTTCTTAAATCCCACTACCCTCTGAGAGATAACTGCTCCTAAAATAATAGGCATATAGCTGTCTTGGGTTATTTTGTTAGTTTGAGGATATAATATATACCTCTCAAATATATATATATATATATATCATATTCAAATTCTACAAGTTGATTTTTATATAACTGAAGCAATAGTTAATATTTCAGTGTCAGTACATGTAGATCTGCCTAGTTTAAAAAGGATTTCATAGAATATTATGTATCGGTTTCATAAATAATCAAACACAACACAAGTTTAACTGAAGTATCGCTGTAAGACTTCTACTAGTGAGTCTTGTCCTGGCACCATGCAGGCCTGTTGCTTTCCTAGCTGGGACTGACAGCTGTGAGATTACACCTGCAGTCACGACAGCGTTCCGAATAGGCTGGCCATATCCAGTAGGTACCAGCCTCCTTCTGAGATGGGCAGAACAAGATACTACCAGGCCAGCCATGCCAGGCCAGAGTGCTGATGACAGTAATTTTCTTCCATAGTCAAGCTTTCATCTTCTCAAATAGTGAGTGAGTAGGTAAAGGTCTTGTGCCTCATCAGCACCTGGAGCTGGAGATCTCTTTGATGGTGATGAGTTTTACCCAGGGAATCTCAGAAATTAGAGCATTGTGTGCTGCTTAAAATATGCTCTTTGATTTATTTATTCATTATATTCATTTTTGTGGTGTGTGTGTGTGTGTGTGTGTGTCCAGAGTTCAGAGGAGACTGTTATGTGTCCTGTTTCATCACTTTATGTCCTATTTCCTGAGACCAGGTTGCTCACAGAGCTTGGAGTTAACTGTTTTCACACAGCTGGCTGGCCAGTAAACCCTAACATCTGTCTCTCTCTGTGCCTCCAGTTCCAGGGTTACAGGCATGCAAGGCTGTGCCTGGCTTTTTAGGTTATTTCAGGTGAATCTAAATTCCTGTCCTTGTGTTTGTACAAGCTCTTTTGTCTACTGAACTATCTTCCCAGCCTCCTTTTGAATGTTTGGGAGTATCCCTAAAGTAACCCCCTCCTGTCTGTGCCCATAATTTTCTAATACTTGATTCTTTACACAATTACTTGATTTTTGATGGAAAAAAATTACTTTGGCTATAAAAGATAACCATAGTTGGCAACAGAGCAAGGATTTTCAAAACATAATAAATAAAATTTGTCTCACATCTCAGCTTTTACTGTGTGCATATCAACTCTTTCTCTGGAGCAGATGATTTGCAGCTTTTAAATGGGGCTGGCTCTGAACTCACGACCCTCCCTTCCCAGCCTTCCTCTGATAGTATGGGTGCACCACTGCTGCCACCCGAGCTTTGTTGTACAAAGCAAAGCAGAGCCTCTCACTCTGTACCATTTCTACCCCCTTGCCTCCCCCTGCTATTTTAGCGATTCTTAGATTGTCTTCTTAGCGAGCATCCTAGGCCTGAATGTTGGCATTCTTATTTGCAGAGTCAGGTTTGGAGGGTTGTTGAGGTGAAGGCTACAGAACAGCCCCAGTCTTTTGTTTTGCTTTAGGATGTTGTGTGGGTGTCTAGTAAGGCTGTCCTACAATCTCTTGTAAGTCATGAAACATGGCATTGGTGGAAGAGTGTGGCGCATTCCCTTGGTGCTGGAGTAGGGTTGAGCATGCTGTGGACCCACTGTGCACTGTTTCTTAAAGAAGGCCCCGGATGGTACACAATCACATCTGACCTGAAAGAAAGGGACAGCAGGTGGTGCCGCCACCATTCTTTCTATACATGCCACAGTATGATTTAGAAGGAATCATTTTAGTAATATTTTAGAAGAATTTGTGTTCTGGGCTCATAGTTTGGAAATGTTAATATTCTTTCATCTTCAGTGCCAGAATGAGAGGGTTTGGCAGGCTAGATAGCAGTCCAGTTCTTTTAGCAAGCTTGTTATTTGCAATTAGTCTCTGTGTGCTTCATCCATGCGGACTATTTAAAACTTAATTTTTATTAATAATTATTATGTGTGTGTGAGAGAATGAGAGTGTGTGGGTAAAAGGGGTGAAGATGGGGAGAGAGCAGGAATAGAGCATATGTATGTTGCAGCATGAATATAGTGTCAGAAGAAAACCCTGCACTGTGAGTTCTAGGAGTTGAACTCAGGTCAGACCTGCACAAGTGCTTTCCCAACACTGGCCAATCCTGCCAGCCCTGTGAGGCCTTAAAACAAAACCACTGTCAAGTTAGATCATTGTGATGTTTATTGAAAGCAGTATTTTAGATATCTCATTCTTTCTTAAAATTTTCTTCTTTGTACATACTTGATTTCTCTGTGGGTTGGAAATGATGTTATGAGTGCCATTGTTTTGTTGGCTGGTGACTGCTTGTTTGTTTCCCAGCTGCCCAGACCAGAAATAACCACTCAGAAACTATATTAATTACAACAGTGCTTGACCTATTAGCTTATGCATATTTCTAGCTAACTTTTACATCTTAAATCAACCCATCTCTATTAATCTCTGCATTACCACGAGTTCATGGCCTACTGGCAAGGTGCATCTATCTCCTCTGGCAGCTACATGACGTCTCACTGACTCCTCCTTTTTCTCCTAGCATTCAGCTTAGTTTTCCTGCCTAGCTCTAGTCTGCCCTGTCATAGGCCCAAGAAGCTTCTTTATTAATCAGCGGCATTCACAGTATACAGAGGGGAATCCCACATCAATTGTTTATGGTTTGTAGCTGTTTCTGTTCTTCCAAGTTTGACATACATTATGAAATATTGTCAGCATGTCAGTCTCTGTGAATCTTTTTCTACTGTGTCCTGTGTTTTACCTTCTGCTCTAATAGACAGGCTGTATAAAGCTGTAGATAGCTTTGGGCTGTTGCTCCTGTCAGTCTCCCTCTTTTGGCTATAACTGTAGGCTTACACATAGTGAGCCTCCAACAGAGGGGTTACTCAGGTATTAGCTATGCTTCTAGCTTCTAGTTTACAGGTAGCATGACCCTACCTGTAAACCTAGACTTTCAACTCCTGTGCCTTTGTGGTACAAGACTCCTGTTTCTGTCCACCCATGTGGAAGCTTAGGAGATGCTCCCAGCTTCACACCACCTAGGTTGTTGCTTGCTGCTTCCAAGATCCCTTCAAGAACTGGCAAGTTCTTGAAGCAGAGAGCAATGCTTGAAGGCAGCCCAACTGCCTGTGTACGTCTCTTCTCTCTGGATATTTCAGTTATATCCTCAGAGTGCCCTGATTACTTCAGATGGATTCATTTGTGAGGGAGGGCAATTCTAGTTCTCAGCAAAACGATAGATTTATAGCAAGTTGACTAATCATTATTAAACTCTTGGGGGTGTTTAAAATTATTGAAATATACAAATAAGTGCAGCAGCATTATCCTGATTATATATTATGATATATAAGGTCTAATGATCATTTGTTTTATATATATATATATATATATATATATATATATATATATATATTCAAGAATGGCATAAGTGGAGCTGTGGAGTTGGCTTAGTCAGCAAAGTGCTTCAAGTATGAAAACCTTCAAGTCTGATCCCCAGAACCTACTTAGAAAGAAAAAACTGAGTATAGGAATATGCACATGCAGTGTTAGTGCTGGGGAGGCAGGGTAAGGCCAGCCAGCTTACCCTGTGTTGGGAGTTCCAGGTTAATGATAAAGCTAATCTAAAAGAAAAAAACAAAAACAAAAAAGGTGGGTAGCCTGAGGAATGACCCCTCTGGCTTCCACTTACACATGCACACATGTGCACCCACAAACACACGTGTGCCCCCACACATAATAATAACAAAACAGCATTGAACAAAGCAGTCACTGTTGACTAGTTTTAAAGGTTCTGAGGTTGATTTTTGATTATTACATATGTTAGCAGCCATTTTTCTTCGTATAGCATTCTCTTGTCCCACTTTTCTCCTGCGTTGCTTTATTCTGACCGGCTTGCAGAGCTGCTTCAGATTAAAAACAATGGCTCTTTGTGCTGAAAATAGGCCTTGTCATTGTGTTGTGTCTGAGTTTGGTTTTATGGTCACAGAAGACAAAATGATTTTATATATCTTAATTTTGTGGAATTTAATTTATACTTCTTTAACTTCAAAATTCAGCCTTGTTTGTTGTTATTCTGCCTTCCCCAAATGTCCACATCTTTGATCCATAAAAAATATATTTTTGAGTATTGGAATAGCGATGTTTTAGTTCTAATCATGACTGATTTTTCATGGATATCATGTTCTTCTGTTGTTCGAATGTTCACACACATGGGTTTCTTTGGCACTTTTTTATTTTATGAGTAGACCTTTATTTTATTCATTGAAATCTTTTAATCTATTTTTAAAATTGGAGACAAATTCTTCACGCTTGAAAAGGCATATATGGGATTGATGTGGTAGCGCTCACCTCTAATCCCAGCACTTGGGAGACAGAGGCAGGTGGATCCCTGAGTTTGAAGCCATCTTGGTCTACAGAGTGAATTCCAGGTCAGTGAGGGCTTCTTAGTGACATTCTGTCTTAAAAACAAATAAACAAACATTGCACACCTTGGTTTACATATTTTTTAAAAAATGATTGATAAATCGTTTTGACATTTGAACTGAATGTTGACTTTGTAGATTAAATTAGATGCTTGTTTTTCATCTCCCTTGAAGTTTGGACCAGTTGCTCTTAATAAGAGTTTATTATGCATTATTCCTAGCAATTCTGTGTATATTCACATTATGCTCTTCTGTCTTACTTTCAACTGGATTTTGAGAGAAATGCTTGTTTTTATTATAATTTTTCTGAATCCTTCCGTACTCATTTCTTTGGGTTTTCCTAGCACAGTAGTAACAGTCTATATTTTGTAGTGAGGGGCTGTGGGCAAGACTGCTTTTTGCCTCACCCGGCTCCTGCACGGCTAGCTTAGCCCCGGAAATAACAACACACAAATTGTATTCATTTAAGCACTGCCTGGCCCATTATCTCTAGAGAGTTAGTTACTGACTAACTCTCATATCTTGATATTAACCCATTTTTAATAATCTGTGTAGCACCACGAGGTGTGGCTTACCAGGAAAGATTTAGCATGTCTGACCTGGTGGCTGGCTCCATGGTGTCTGCCTCATTGCCCTCTTCCCAGCATTCTGTTCTGTTTACTCCACCTACCTAATTTTCTGTCCTATCAAAGGGCCAAGGCAGTCTCTTTATTGACCAATGAAAATAACAAATAACCCTCTTCCATCAATATTTTCTTCAGATCGTCATGGTTTTATCTCTTCTATTTTTCTAGTATTAATAATTCATTCTTTAATTGCAGTGGTTGTGATAATGAAATTAATACATGCATGTGTATATACGTGCATATATACATGCACACTTTTTCTTTCTTTCGAGGCTGGATTTCATGGTGGAGCCCTAGCCAGGCCTAACTGGTCTAGAATTTGCTATGTAGGCCAGGTTGACCTAGAACTCAGAGTTCCACCTTCCACCATATCCGAAGTGCTGGGAATAAAGATATATACCACCATGCCTAGCCATATCTCTATTTTATTTGGATGTATGTGTGTGTCTGGGCACACATGCCACGTAGAGTGTGTGGAGGTCAGAGGACAGCACTCAGGAGGCATTTTCTCCTTTCACCATATTGGTCCCAGGGGATCAAATTCAGGTTTTCAAGTTTGGTGGAAAATGCATTTACCTGTTGAGCCATCTAGCCTGCCTGAATTTTTATATATGCTAATTTTTATTTTTTATTAATTGAGTAAAATTTCCAGCATGATCACAGTTTCCCCTTCCCCGTCTTCTCCTCCCAGTCCCTCCCCTAAACCTTACCTCTCTTCCCTCATTCACTCCTTCTCCTCTCTCTCCAGAAAAGGGCAGGCCTCCCATGTATATCAGTCAGCCATGGTATATCAAGTTGCAGTGAGACTAGGTACCTCCTGTCCTATTGAGGCTTGATAAGGCAACCCAGTTGGAGGAAAGGGTCCCAAAAGCAGGTGACAGAGTCAGCGACAGCCCCTGATCCCTATTAGGAGACAATTCTCCTGACTGACTTTCTATACTGAGGAAAGATTGTTTGATGTGCATACCTTTTTTGTTTTGTTTTGTTTTGTCTTTTGAGGCAGGGTTTCTCTATAGAGAAACAGTTTTGGAGCCTGTCCTGGAACTAGCTCTTGTAGACCAGGCTGGCCTCGAACTCACAGAGATGCACCTGCCTCTGCCTCCTGAGTGCTGGGATTAAAGGTGTGAGCCAGCACCACCCAGCTGATTTGCATACTTCTTTAAGAAAAAAAATGAGGATTATGGGTAAACCTGTGTTAGAGTACTTGCCTAGCAAGCACAAAGCATTGGGTTCCAGCTGCTTTACTGCCAAAAGAATAAAGAGTTGGTTCTTTTCTTTGCTTCTCTGTTTTGCTTTTCCCCACCAACTATAGAACAATTGCATTCTTGTCCAGTTGGTTTACCAACAACTGAATGTACTGATTTTTCCCCACTTTTGATCCTTCCTCTTGCATTTGATCTTGCCCTATGTTATGCCGTGATCATGTATTTTAGACTGTGTGGAGAAGGGGTCTACTTTTTACCTTTGTGTGTCTTCCTTTTTGAAGGTCCCCCCCCATTCTGTTAATTGAAGGAAAAGACTAAATCCCATGGCTATATCACCTGGACAGTAGCACACCGGGAAGAGGCGGCCTGTGTGGGAGTTTTCAAATACAGATAGCAGACGAAGGGTGAGAGTCACATGGTCTTCAGGGCAAGAAAAGGATGCAATAGAGCATCGGTGCATAAAAATGAAAATGCGAAAACAGGCGGCCTGGGAGACAGAAAGTAAATGAAGCGGGACCAAATTTTAGATCCTTGTGGAAGCTCGAGAGAGAATTCTTCATGTGCAAACGAATTATTAATGCAGATCCTCAGATGCATATGCATGTACAGAGCAAGCCTGGGGCAGAGCATAGACCTTGCTGCCCCGGGTCACGGTCAGTGCTCGCCTATGTTACCATCGTACATCATTGCTTGCTGACCTCGGGAACTCAGGGCAGTGCAGGTACTCTGTGGACTACACAGTGATCTTATGCACAGTCTTTGAGTTTGGCTTGTGTTTGACATTCTGACAACATGAAATCTGGAGTGAGAATGGAGGTTTATAACTTCTCAAAGAGATGCCTGTTAGCATTGTGGGTCCACCCAGAGATGCTTCCGTCAGTCTCCTCTGTCCCTTTCTGCCTTGCTAGTCCTCCAAGTCATAAATACAAACTTCTTTGCATACACTGACCAGAAGAGATGGAAATAGACTAGATACGGGTAAATGTTTGCAGGCCTGTTTGGTTGTCCCCAGGTGTGTGGAATGGTGGTTTATTGAGTGAAAACTGAATGAAATAAAGTGTATCTGTCAACAGCATTTTCTAGTGCCCTGATGTATGCACTGGATCCAGGACTTGCAGGATGATGTCATTGTATTTGGGAAGGTTAACAGTTCAGAGTGTTCTTTATGCTCTAAGATGGAAACAGAAACTGGGTGTCTTCTGTGCAAAATTACATGTGTGTGTATATATGCATGCATATATAAAATTACATATATGGATGTGTGTATTGTATATCTATTTTTTCTGTTCCTAGGGGACTCCTTCTCACAGTTCCGATTTGCTGAAGAGAAGGAATGGGATGGTGAAACGTCATGTCCAAAACAGGTAAGAGAAATGTTTTGAATGTAGGTTAGCTCATCTCAAGGCCAAGGCCCTACCCCTTTTCATTATTGCAGAGATGAATCCTGTAGAAAAGAGCTCTAATTCATATCCATTTTATTCTCAGCTACCTGCTGGAGAGAGAGCATGTACAGGGAACTACATAAGTTCATAAGGTCCTTCAAACTTGAGTTCATTTGGCCATCCGTGTATGTGTCATAGGTTGAGTTGTGAAGGAGGAAGTTAATGGTTGTGATTTTAGCACAATAGATTGCTTTGCTATTGTTTTTCTTTTTTCTTCTGCTTCTTTTTTCCAACTCCCCACCTCCCCACCCCCACATTCCTTCCTTAACTGCATTTCTTTATTATCCTTCATAGAATAGGGTAAATGTAGGAAATAAAAACAGGTCTGCAAAAGTCCTTCAGTCGGTCCTTAAACCACGAAGGCTGCATTCACGCTATAGGTTTAGTCAAGGACCTTGCTGTGTTATTGAGTAAGGAATGGATTAGGTACTCAATTCCCACCTACCCCCATACACAAAGATCTATAAGAAAGGATTTCATTATCTGTGTTGGCATGTCAGTGGTATTGTTGTTATTTGAGTCTTCTGTAGAGAACTATATTGTTAAGAATTAATGGGCACAGTTTTCCTGCCATGTTTAGAAGACACTATCTAGCCACAGTTCCCCCTCCCCCCCAGTAGTGTTTCTGAGTTTTAGTTGTAGTGGTTGCATTGTAGACCTATCAACTGAGGCTGGGCAGTTGACCTTCCCTTTCGAAACAGGATCTCTCTGTCTCTTTTTTTCTGTTTTGTTTTTGTTTTTGTTTTGAGACAGGGTTTCTCTGTGTAACTTTGGAGCCTGTCCTGGCACTCACTCTGTAGACCAGGTTGGCCTCGAACTAACAGAGATCCACTTGCCTCTGCCTCCCAAGTGCTGGGATTAAAGGCCTGCACCACCACCACCACCCAGCAAAGAATTATTTATTATATATACAGTGTTCTACGAGCATGCATGCCTGCATGCAAGAAGAGGGCACCAGGTCTCATTATAGATGGTTGTAAGCCATGATGTGGCTGCTGGGAACTGAACTCAGGACCTCTGAAAGAACAGGCAGTGCTCTTAATCTCTGAGCCATCTCTCCAGCCCCCTGTAGCTTGAAACAGGATCTCTTATTGGACCTGGAACTTGCCGTTTGGTTAGATTGGCTGGTCAGCAACCCCTGGGATCTATCTGGTTTTTTCTTCCACTTTCCATCAGACTGGGATTATAGATGCACACTGCCATGCTCAGTGTTTATGTGGGTGCTGGGGGGCCCTGCTAAGGTCTGTGCTTGTGCAGCAGGCCCCACTTCCCACATTTCTGTCAGGGTTTCATTTCTTAAATATGTTATCTAATTTAGAGATAAATTTCTTTTTTTTCTCCTAGAGCAAACAAGCCAGTTAGCATTGTCATTATGGCTTACCAAAGACCTAGTCATTTCAGGATGGCTTTAAAGGGGCCGTGGGAAAACCAGATCGCTTACTCGGATGGACCCCCATGTACTGCTGTTTTATGAACTAGGGACTAATGTGGGCTTTCTGTGGCAGGCTCTGCTCTTGAGGTGCCAAGAACTGTGTTTCCATCTCTAATAATTTGTAAGCCTATCAACTTGAGATGCCCTACAATAGAGCTGTTAAGTGAGGGGGTTCTCTGGCTTTTTGACCAATGTGAAGTCAGTAAGTATAGGAAAAGACACAGTCCTGGATTGACCTTTGAAAGTCCCTGTCCAACACTGGTGGTGGATGGTGTTTGCCTCTGTACTGAAGTCATTGTGACCACCTTTTAAGCTTTTACTTCCCTTAGGTCCCCAGGACCCCTCCAAGGTAGCTAATAGGATAGTAGATGAACAATCACTGGTTTGGCTATGGACTTAGCAGGAATGTTTAAGAGAACAGTGCAGGTGTGTAGCCTCATTCCTGGGTGGAAAGGGTCAAAGGAAGCTTTTAGTGCCACCGCCACACTGGGTGTAGCTGGCTGGAGAGAGGAAGTTGCTGTTTTCTGATTTGAAGAGAAGCAGCGCTTACCCACCAGCTCATTGGGGGCACCTGGCCACCCCATGCCACCACCTAACCAGCTCTTCTCCCTTCTGCCTAGGACCAGCAGTCTGAGTTTAGGGGAAGTTTCTGGTCAGATTTCATGAAAATGCTAGTTTTCTCCCAGTTTTAGGGTTAGGGTGTCAGCTTGGTGTGATGGTGATCACTGCCCTAGCTGTGGGCTCGCTGTTTAGTAGAGAGACATCAAAGGTCATTAAATGTGATTTATTATTGGACTCCCGGACAAAAGCATCTGCAATGGATGACTGATTTACAGTTGTTTTACACCCCCCTCCCCCCGCCAACATCCATCTAGAATTCATCACTCTACGTGGACAGTGAGTCACTGGTTCGAGCCCTTCAACAGCTGCCCCTCTCAGTCCGGCTTAACGTTGCTGCGGAGTTGATCCAGGTAAAATTAGAGTCTGCCTACTGGCTGGGTTGGGGCAGAGGAAGAACCAAAGGGAAGAGTGTAGTCTGCAGGGTGTCTCAGCCTGAGCTTTTCTTGTCCATCATCAACTGAGGCCTCTTATTGTGGTGTTACCTTGTAATGTTTGAAGGAAAACAAAGCAGTTGTTTGACGTTATTCTGTTATGTTTTATATATGATACATTTTAATGGGTCAAATATAGAATTGAATGCAAGACTATAGCAGACTATAAAGTCTGACTATTACCACAAAATATCCAGGTACCAGGCTCTGAGTTGGCACTAGGGACACAGTGATGAACAGGTGGATGTGGTTCCTCCTTCCCTGAGCTCAATCTACTGGAAAATATTGATACTAATCAGTTTAATGAAGTAATTATACAGAGGCATAGAAATGATAAATTATGTGAATTTCAGTGTGCCATAAGAGCTTGTAGTAATGAAGCTGATATATCATGGTGTGGCTAGGACTGGCTTGCCTCAGGTAACAATAGATAAGCTGAGGTCCGAGGTGTGAGAACACATGAGCTGCAGTGAACGGAGATGGTGACCCCGGCAGGGGATGGTGACCCAGGCAGGTCCACATTCATGAAAACAATCATAGTAAAGATTGTGTTGGTGGAATAGAAGGCAAGCTAAGTGACTGGGTGTGTATTCATGGCTGTGTCTGTGTGCTGAGTGACTGGGTGTGTATTCACGGGTGTGTCTGTGTGCTGAGTGACTGGGTGTGTATTCACGGATGTGTCTGTGTGCTGAGTGACTGGGTGTGTATTCATGGCTGTGTCTGTGTGCTGAGTGACTGGGTGTGTATTCACGGGTGTGTGTGTGTGTGCTCTTAAGGCACAGTAGGGAAGCCATCTTATGAAAACTGTCACCTGGGTCCAGGTAAGAGTCTCTCTCTCTCTCTCTCTCTCTCTCTCTCTCTCTCTCTCTCTCTCT